GCATAAGCCAAATTTAATATAAAAGCAATCTGTGTATACTATAATAAAAAAGTGCATGTTGTTATTCATTTCCTACTATCTTTAATGGCAAGGCAATTTAATTCAATACCAAATAATTTTGTTAAGCATTTATTGTGTTTGTTACTATGCTTGATATGGGATAATTTTTAAATGATATAAAAGGAGGCAACACAATTCACTAGAACTAGATATCATTGTATATATGTAATGTAAAAGAAGAAAATTTCATCTCTGGGGAATGATTTTAAGCCTTACGATTAATGAAAAATATGAATATAAATATATATCATGATGTAAACTTTTAAAATGATATGTCTTAATAATTTTAAAGAAAGCAAATTTTTTAAATCAGATTAAAATTGAAAATTTTTACATATATAGGGTGAAAAACTTCTTAATATCTGCCATAGATACAATTAAAAATTCAGTAAAATGACCATTAAAATTCCTCAGTACAAACATTGGGAAAAGAAAGTGAGGAGGAACAATTAGGATCAAAGAGTTTACTGGAGCTTTCTCTTTGATTCAAGATAGACAAGCAAGAAATGTTCTTTAGCTTCCAAGAGAAATGAGAGAAGTAGTATGCTCTTTGAAAGATAGTTTTGAGTTTTAGTGAAGCAACAGTAAAGCCAATATTGAAGATATAAGTGCTTTCTTGTCAATCAAATGCCATTACAAACAACAAAGTAGAAGATTACGTTATGTTTGCCCCGTGATTGCAAACCCCAAGGTCATTTAGCTGGTTGGGTTTAGATTATGGGTTATTACTGATAAAGTTGCTGAGTTTTCATTTATGAGTCCATTATTACAAGAAAAAACAGTAGACTGGTAGACTGGAGAAATTGTCACTTAGGTTGATAACTGTGCATCATGTTATACACATATTATGACTAATAGGTTGATAATTGTGCATCATGTGCATATGTTATGATTAATATAATAAATATAGTATTATTAGGGAACTTTAGGATTGTTGAACAGGTCTAGTTTGAAAATTATTTTCAGGGTCTCAAATTTTTGGTGGAATTGTACTAGCTGTTGCATCTTGCTGATCCAAGGTGTTTGACATTAATTGTTTGTCACATCTTCTAGTAGAAAGGTAGAGTGATGGTACTTTTAACCATGACTACTCACTTTCTGTGTCTTCATGGTTGAAATGCATTTATCAATCATTTTATTTTCTTCCTCTCTAAGTTACTAATTGAATATTGAATATTCTACTCTTCATTCAGTTTAATAATTGTATTGGCTAATTTATAAATATAGTCAATTGAATAAAATCAAGTAGTTTAACACGCTTTTACCATTCTGCAATACTTTGAAATGAGGTAATTTGTGTTTAGTTTCAGTAGTCCTTAAATGACTAGAATTATGATTTTCAGCAACGTCTTAGGAAAGAGATTCAACTTGGGATGTATTCATGATTTCTTTTTCTGAAAGCTATGTTTAAATTTTAACAGAGCAGAGAGAAACTTGCCTCCAATAACTTTAGAAAAGTAATTTCACAGTATGACGCATTGATATTTTCAGAATTGATTTAGATTCAGTAATTCAGTTACTAAGACCTTCAGTTTTGAACCAGTCCCTACTAGTACTACCTTTGACTATCATAGATTTCATACAGTCTATTTGCCTGCCAAGTTTAATGTCTCATCATAAATCTCTGCCTTGTTAATTCACATGGCTGGCCTTGTTCTTTCCCATGGTGTTGTGAGGCATCCTCACCCTCATGTTTCACTTCAAATCTCAGCACATTAATTTTCATATTTTTAAATTTCCCTACTCATCTAGAAAAACAAAGATTTTAGGCTACTGTTTTAGTATAAATTCTTGCTGCAATATATTACAGTTACAAGCAATTCCTTGAATCATTCATGCTAAGGAGGATTACTGTCAGACTGACAGCAGGATTTGTAATGTCAACAGAGGTAAACTATCAGAAATATGCCATTAGCTTCTTTTTCAATTCCTTTTAAATGGAAATACAGAAGGAAAGGGTATTCTTAATGCACAAAAATAAGCAAAATTATCTTAAATGATTCTGTAATAGTTTTTGTTAACTACTGATTACCAAAATCCAATTGCAATCTTCTCAGTGACTATAAGGAACTAAATGCTCAAGAACTCAATTTGCTGTCAATATCACAGGGAAATGGTTACATGAATAAGCAGGAACATAAAACAGCTGACAGCTATTTTGTGATTGAATTGACTATAATGTCAATCAAATTATTCTGCATGCATGTAGGAAAAATCGTCTTTAGTGCCAGTAATTATTTCAAGGTTGACTTATCTTGTATTTGCTTCTCTGAGCCAAGAAACTCCATCAGTAGCATTAACTCTTTTAGCTCAAGTAATGTTATTTTGAAGAGTCCCTGTTTGATACTATATTCATTCATCACAATTTAGACTAAATTATCAACTAGGCAGTCACCAAGATAAAATGGAAAACAACCTAGTTGAATTTTATGTGGTTTTCACAGGGAAAAAGGAGAGCTCTAGGATATGGGTAGAGTTTTCTTTGGTGAGTGTATGCACATTTGGGACCTGATTCTAATCAATGCAGAAATAGAAAAAGCACTAAATAAATATCTGGAGAAATCTTTAGTACAATACTTTTTATTTGAACTCAAATCTTGATCTCTTGGTGTTCTAATGTTCAGACTTGCTCTTTGAAGTCCTTTGGGCTTGGGAACTATTCTGGATTCTACTACATTGATCCCAATTATTTCAGCTTGAACTCAATCTTGTTTGCTTTGGATTAAACCACTGAATTAACTCATGACTTTTATGCCCAATTCTGACAATAGACAATCTTGTCAGGTCCGCCAAAAGTGAAATAGTTCTGACCTAAAAAATTATGATTAATAATAGCTTAATATATAGGCATCTTTCTGTTTTTATTTATATTATATAAATATATACATTAATTAATATATAAACATATGACACCAAGTTAATGTTTGACTAAATAAAGCATGACATAAATACACATAGATAATTATTTCAACCTGAAAATGTCTATTAATAAGATGTTTCTAAAAATTGAAAACTCTCTATGAAATTGTATTAAACAAAAACCTCTGCTATAAAGGTGTATATACAGTTTCACTCAAATTCAATATCTCCAACCATACCTGGTATGTGGCAGGTACTCAATATTTATTTCCTGAATTAATAAATAAATGTTAGAATCAAAGATTAATAAAAATTATCATTCATTTATCTATTTTTATCTTTTCATAAAGTAGATAAAAATTAAAGAACAGAATAACAATAATTTTTTCTGTGTGGTGAGATTATGGATGAAGTTAAAGTTCATTGTCCCCTGCATTCTTTATTATTGTTCTAACTTTCTACAAAGTTCATTGATTATGTTTATCATCTTTCTCTCTCTCTCTCTCTCTCTCTCTCTCTCTCATACAATCAAATGCTATCAAGTAAAGGGGTATGTTCATAACTCAAGTTGAGGAGAATAAAGATAAAAATAAAGTTTTGGGGGGAAATCAAAAGTATAATAGTTGAAAGTAATACCATATTCAAAGTTCTCAATATTACATACTTTAAGATAGGGATAGATGTCGCGCCCACCTCGCCAGCAAGGAAGACGCGGCAACTGGAGTTCTTCTGACAGTGCTTTAATGGGGTTCCCTTTAGACTTACATGATGCGGAAGACCCTGAGCACAAGCTCTCACACACTTATATACTCTAAGGAAGGAGGGAAGTGATGGGGATAGGTTAAAAGCGCGCGAGGGTTATTACTGATAGGCCAAGCTAAGATCCTTCATATGCATACTTATATAACAGGCCAGGACTTACTCTGCGCATGCGCTGAACTTGTTTACTACAGGCGGGCCACCGGAAATCGGCGCCATCTTGTAATGGCGTTGTCACCGCGCCCCACAGATAGATATTCTGAATACTCAATGGCCAACATTTCAATGGAGAGAGTACCCATACTCTGTGCATAATGTTGCATAAGAAACCACTTCTATCTTGATGTCTTAAAATAATATGCTTTTGTTTAGCTTATGAAATTTCAGGCAGACAATTTATATACGTTTGGCTGGGAAACTTTCCTAGTCATTGTTGGACTTACTCACATGTGTGACACTTGGCTGACTATCACCTAGGAAAATAGAGGCGATTGGACTATGCATTTCTCTTCTTCCAACAGCCTAGATTGGACAGCATCTTCTCTTAGAGAAAGAAAGATTCAGTAACAGCAAATGGAAAGAAAAAGTGTCTTATGGTATCACATTTTAAATTATTCCTTTGGGCATAAAGTCACATGGCTGAGAACAAAGTTGGGAAAGCAGGACTATGGAAAGTTATCTTGCAAAAGACAGGGAGGGGTGAGAAATTGAGACCATTAGTATTATCATCAGAGAGTAATTATGTAACCATGCAAGCTTCTTAATCTAGGAACTGGCCTTGTTAAAAAGGAATAGGCTTCAGAACTCAATATTGTTATCAGCCTCTGCTTCTCTTGTGTTAGCTCAGATATGCAGAGCCAGATCTGCTAAGTTACTAAAAGGATGTAGTAAAAGAGCCGCTAGGTTATAGATTTGTCTGTCTACCTCTGGTCAATGGGAACTTATTAAATATATCCAGTAGCTCTAATGATAGGTCATTGTTTTCCACAGTGATGTCTGGGGAGGAGACATGCAAAAGATCCCATGGAGTTGGGTCACATGGGAAGCAAAGTCTTTAACACCATGCCAAGACATTTGTTGACATGGATTGGGAGCCATTTATCAATACCTATAATAGAATAATAAAAAATTAATCAAACCCCTTTGGCACTATGAGAGTGTACTGGCATTATATGCACTCATTTACAGCTAATCAAGGTCTTCTACCACACTCTGAATTGAGATAAACTAGAGTGCTCTTTGTTTTTCCAGAAAAATCGGTTCTATAGGGAATCAAGATTGTCTTTTTCATCTTTTTTTTTTTTTTTTTTTTTTTTTATCAGAGCAACATCTGAGAGCAGAGAAGTGTGGCTATGTAAACACTCAAGGCAAGGTCAGTATCCAATTTCATTTAGGTCTTATATCCTTGATCTAAGTAATATGAACTGTCAATCCATTCACTGAGGTCATATAAATTATCCACAAATCTACTGAAGTCAAAGCAGGCATAAGATGAACTGCTCATCCATCATCTGAAGTTAAAAATAAATAAATAAAAATAAAGGAGTTTTGTCTTTCCTTTTTTTTGGGGGGGGGAAGAAACAAACAATGTCCTTCTTCAAATTTCCTTCATTGCTCTCATAATTCCTGTGTCTAGAATCTCAGGAAGTTAGAGGAAATATGCCTGTGAATGGCCTGTAAATACCTGACTACAATAGTGATATGTTGATTTCTTGAGTTTTTGTGACTGCTATCTTTTTAATTTTTGTTGTTGTTGTTGAATATGCCTAGTGCCTTCACATCTCATGCAAATAATTTTATTATTTTTTAAAAATGTGTCAACAATATTCTTCATAGTACCTTTTTTGACCCATTTCCTGAAGCATTTAGGTTTACTCACCATTAAGGTGCTCATTGGATACTGGAAGAAACTCTAAAATATACTTATGTTTATAATTTTCTTTCTTTCTTTTAAAATCAATCCCATGATGTCTATTAAGTAAAAATGGGTTAAAATGGTCAGTGTGTTTGCTTTTCTGTGAGTGGGTGGCCATAGACTTCTCTCTGCCAGAATCTTGAGAGACCTCAAAGACATCTGCTTCAGGTACCAGCAAAGATATGTATCAACCAGCAAATATCTAAAACAAACTGGTAATTTGAGAGCGAGATGAATTACTACAATAGGAAATTTCCAGCTTACCAGGCAAATGGCATGCAAAGGTAAGGGAGACAAGGCCTTTCCATAGCTGTAAACCCTGAAGGAAAAAACCAACAAACACACAAACAAGCAAACAAATCCCACAAGAATTCATATGCCTTATAAGAATTCATATGCTTTATAGTCAAGAAGTGAAGGACTGATAGAATTAAATGAACAAGGGAAGCTAGTCAAGATGGGGCATTCTGTGTCTGCTCAAACCAGCAGCAAAGTAAATGGGAGATTAAACGTGTACAAGCATATACACACAGACTTGCATGCACAAGTTAGATTTGGAGGCTCCTTTTAGAACACAGACTCCAACAAACCAAGAGCTAATATCAAAATCAAACTGGACTTTTGAAACCTACAGGGATTAGATAAAGAAACAAAATCTGTGTCTGGATTCTAATCACCTGCTCTGCTCTCAGGCAGAGCTTCCAAATATTCAAGAATATGTTACAGAGCTTTCATAGCCTGTGTGTGTGTGTGTGTGTGTGTGTGTGTGTGTGTGTAATATGCTTGCCTTTTTTAGTTTTATTCTTTTTTTATTTCACTTTTTTATTTCAAAATATTATGGAGTACAAATGTTTTTGGTTATAAGGATCGCTTTTCTAGGGCTGTAAGTGTGCCTATCACCCAGATAGTGTTCATTGTACCCATTAGGTAGGTTTTCGCCCATCCTCTCCTCATCCTCTCTCCCCTGCTTGATTTCCCCTGAGTTTTAATTCCTTCGGTGCACAAATGTTATCATGGGTTAGTTCCCATTTAATAGCAAATACATGTGGTAATTTTTCCCCATTTTTTTCGATACTTAACTTAGAATAATGGTCTCCAGTTATAACCAAATTGTTGCAAAAAGGCATTAATTCACTCTTTTCTATGGCAGAGTAGTATTTCATGCTATACACATACCATATTTTATTAATCCACTCATGAATTGATGGGCACTTGGTTTGATTCCACATCTTTGCAATTGCAAATTTTGCTGCAATAAATATTCAAGTGCAGGAGTCTTTTTGATAAAATGACATTTTTCCTTTGGGTAAAAACCCAGTAGAAGGATCACTGACTCAAATGATAGGTCTGCTTTTAGTTCTTTGAGGAATCTCTTTACTGCTTTCCATAGAGGTTGTACTAATTTGCAGTCCCACCAAGAGTGTATGAGTGTTCCTTTCTATCACATCCATGCCAGCATTGCTTTTGGACTTTTTAATAAAAGCCATTCTAACTGGTGTAAGAGAACATCTCATTGTGGTTTTAATTTCCATTTCACTGATAATTAGTGATGCTGAGCATTTTTTCATATGTTCATTGGCCATTAGTATATCTTATTCTGAAAAGTTTCTGTTCATGTCTTTTCTTTGTAGATTCTGGTTATCAGCCCTTTATTGGATGTATAGCATGCAAATATTTTTCCTATTCTGATGTTGTCTATTTGCTCTATTGTTTTCTTAGATGTGCAGAAGCTTTTTAATTTTGTCTGGTCTCATGTATTTATTTTGTTGATTGCTTTTGGTGTCTTCTTAAATTTGTTGCCTAGGTTGATGTCTATAAGACTTTTTTCAACATTTTCTTCTAAAATTCTTATGGCTCATGTCTTAGGTTTAAGTCTGTTATTCGTTGTTAATTAATTGTTGTGAGTGGTGAGAGGTGCAGATCCTGTTTCAGCCTTCTACATGGGGCTATGCAATTTTCCCAGCACCATTTATTGAATGGGAATTCTTTTCCCCGGTGTATGTTTTTGTCTGTTTTGTCAAAGATCAGATGGCAATCTGAGGATGGTTTTATATCTGGGTTCTCTGTTTTATATCTGGGTTCTCTGTTCTTATCCAATTTTTTAAATGTATAATTGATATGATAAAAGAGAAGAAAAAATAAAATCATATAAAATGCTCATTTAAAACCAGAGAAGGCCAAAAAAGAGAGGGAAAAAAAGGAAACAAAGAGGAAAAGAGAGGAAAAAAAAAAAAAGAGAGGAAAAAAAAGGAAACAAAAAAGAGAAAATTAATTAATAGAAAATAAAATTAAACATGGCAGATTATTTAATATATCTTTAACAAGAGTAAAAGTACCATAAAGTACACTTCTTTTGCTGCTTCTACCCAGAATGGTCCAGATTACATCATGTTGGCAGTCAGAATTTTTCCTATTGAGAGGGAGGTATAAATTGGTTTTAGGTGGGTTAGAGTGAGAAGGATACAACTGAAATTGAACATTTCTTAAAGCTCCTTATTCAATACTATTGCAAGAGACTAAGGATGCTGATCAAAAGGAAAATTGAAATTATCTTGTATTCCCTTACTAGTATGTTACAGTGATCTTAAAATTGTGATTATTTTACAAAGTAAGTTGAATTTATTTCAATGGAATACTAAGAATATTATCTCATCAATAATTTTCTACTTTGAAATTCTTACATTTAATTATAAATAAGAAAATAACAAATTGAAATAATATACTTAAATAAGTTAATTCATAACATCATGTGTTTCAAACATGATTTTGCTTAAAAATATGACCTTGTAGTTTGAGGACATTTGAAGTATAATAAAAGTGGTATGAAAATATGCCTACACAATGGTTATCAAAAGTTTTTCTCAAATAATATCTTCAAAAAATATAACTGGGTAAAATTTTATAGATAGGATATGAAAAAACTCACAAAAAAAGAAATAAATGACAAAACACGTCTTCATAAAAAATAAAAGTTTTGTTCTTCAAAGGCATATTTATGCAAATGAAAATGTAAGGTACATGTTTGGGGGAATACACCCACACACATATATACCTGCACACATCATATATAAATATGTGTGCATGTGTGTAGGAATATATGTGTTTATATGTGTATGTATATATGTATACACACATATACACATGTATATATACACATACACACATTATATATGTGCCTGATCCTGAAGTTATTTCCCAGAATATGTAAATATATAAAGAACCCAAGTATATCAATATATGAAAAACATGCAATTTGACTAAAAATGGGTAAAGTGTTTTAATATATATTTAAATACAAAAGAATATGTATCCAATAAACACATAGAAAGATTGCTGATATAATTAGCAATTAGAGAAATTAAAATTAAAATTGGCATGAGATAATTTTGCTTATCAGCTGGAATGGCTCAAACTAAAATTATAAAATTCAAAGTTATATCAAGGATGTGAAACTCTTATTTTCACATTTATTGTAGAAAAATAAAATGATACAATCACTTGAAAAACATTTTGACATTGTTTCATGAAGTTGTCCTTCTTGGTGACCTAGCAATTCGACCCCAAGTTATTTACCCAAGAGATAAAGAAACATGTTTATACAAGAACATGTTCAAGAATGTTCATATAGTCTATACTAGTTTTCTATTACTGTGAAACAAATTGGCAGAAAATTAACAGCTTGAAAAATCATCTATGTTTTATTGCAGAGTTCTGTAGGTCAGAAGTTCAGGTAGATTTTACTGAGTTTTCTCCTTAGTGTTTCATAAGACTGAAATCAAGGTCATAGCCATATTGGATGACTTCATGAAGTGTCCTAGGAATAAATTTCCAGTTTCATTCAGTTTGGTAGTATGCTTCTGTTCTGTGCAGTTATGGGACCGAGTCTCCCCCCACCCCAATTTCCTTGATGTTTATTATCCGGGGTATTTTATCTCCTAAAGTTTACTCTCTGGTCTTTGTATATGGTATAGTCCATTTCTTTTTTATTATTATTATTTGTTTATTTTTTTCTCAGATAAAAGATTTTATTAATCAAAAAGCAAAGCCAATACTAGGAATGTCATCAAACTTGTTCAATTTTCCTTTGCCCCGAAGTTCCACAAGGTGACACAGAGGGTACCATGAAACCTGCATGAGCAGTATATTGTACACAGAGGGATTTAGAGCCTAAAGAATCCACTATTTTGATGGCAAATAGTATGAAATCCCTCTAGTGCATTGGTTCTCTCTGAATTTCTCTTTTGCTATCATATAGAGAAAAATCCATATATTAAGAGGGCTGTGTGACTATATTTGGGCAAGGCAGATAATTTCTCTCAGTTAACTCAAGGTCATCTGATTAATTATTTTAATTACATCTGTAAAATCCTTTTTACCATGTAATCATACATAATTTTGGTTGTGGTATCTCATCATGTTCACAGTCCTTGGGATTTAGGCAGAGAAATAGTACAGGGAAGGCTTTTAGAATCCTGCCTGCTACACTACTTTATTCATAATAGCCCCAAACTGAAAATAAAATAAGTGACCTGCAGCCAGTGTTTTAGAATTGTGTTGTGGTAACATACCAATTGTAAGAACTAAATTATTTTCCAGTATTAATTGTTTCATAACAAACAAACACAATATATAGTGGCTTCAAACAACAGCAAACATTTATTTTGGCAGTGAATTTGTTAGTGGGAATGTAGACATGAAATCATAGGTACATTTAGGTCTGCTTTAAGGTCTTAGCTGAGATGACACAATGGTTGAGTGTTGGATAAGCATCTCTCCACATAGTTTATCCATGTAGCTAGCTTAATTGTCCTTATAGCATGATACCCCAAGGGAAGCAAACCTTCTTATATAGTAATTAATAGCACCAAGAGTTATACCTATCTTACATTATATACATCAGAATGGATATATGCTTAGAAATTAAAATAGTATCACTGCTATCATGTTCTATTGGTTATGAAGTGACAGAGGTACATAATCAAAAAAGACAGCTATATACTCCAACTGTCAATGAAAAGAATATTAAAGAATTATCAGCATGTATTTTAAGATTGAATTATTTGATAACTCAGACTTTTTAAGCAAAAAAAAAAAATTAAGAAGAAAAATTTTAAATACCTGGAATGAGGGAATGATAGCTGCAAAATGTCATAGATGTCAACTCCAAACTGTTTAATATTTTAAAGGAATAATTAAATGTCCTTTCTGAGCTATAAAATCACTTTAGTCATTAATATTCTTCATTTCTTTGGTAATTTTGATGCAATTTTCTTGTCAATTTATATAAATTTTAGTCTTAAATATCTTTTTCTGAATGAATTAACTCATTATTCAACAGCATTCTGCTATGCTCATGTCCCCTTTGCAACTATAGTTGACTTACAATTTTAATGCCCAGTATGATTAAGTGAAAATTAAGACAATGAATACAATGACATATTCAACCTGTCATTATGTTATCTTATACAGCATCTTAGTCCATTTTTGTTGCTACGATAAATAACTTAGACTAGGTGTTTTATAACCAACAGACATTCATTTTTTATGTTTTTAGAGCTGGGAAGTCCAAGATCAAGACACCAGTGGATTCTGAGTCAGGTGAGGACTTGCTCTTTGTTTCCAACGTTGCACATTTTTTACTGAGATCTCACAAGGTAGAAGAGAAAATTGTTGTGTCCTTACATGAAAGAGGGGCAACAAAGGGCAAAGAAGCTCCCTAAAGACTCTTTTATAAGGGAATTAATCCCATTCATGAAGGCAGAGCCAAATCAGGAGGAGAGACCAAATCACCTCCTAGAGCCCCCTCATCCTAATACATATTGTGTATCACATTGTTTATTATGTTTTAATGAATTTTAGGTCATTCAGACCATAGCACATGGCTAAAGAGATTTTGCAGATATACTTATTGGCAAGTGTGTAGTTATTTTCATGCATACATGCATTGGAAATAAAATTGAAATGTTTCTAGCATGTAGTTGTGTGAACCATCTTAAAAGATTGGGCAATTATAAAGGGAATCTGACTTCATTTTTGATTCTTAATTGAAACATCTTTCATGCCCCACTATCTCATCTTTCCCTTTTGAATCATATGGATGAGCAGATAAGAAAGCTTGAGTGTTTCCTCCCGTAATGCCAGTTGGAAAGATCAAACCACACAAATGTCAGGCTCCACACAGTAGCCTTACCATGTCTCCAGTTAATGAAAACAAAGACCACTTTCCCTTTCCTTTCTTTAAGCCATTTTCAGACCAATCTGGGTCTCTTCTCTACTCTATCCAGAAAGCCTCAATATGTGAGTAGTAGATCTCTTTACACCTTCTTGCTGTATGAATAACATCATCTGTCTTACCAGCTGAACCAATTTTGAGTGGGAAAGGGTTGATCCCACCCTCCATGGAGAAACCACAAAGCAAATGACACGTCAAAGAGAGTGTCTTTAGCAATGACCACTATCAGTAGTCTTTCTGCCCTTGCTTTGTCTTGCTATGTGGCTCTGCTACCTGCTGCCACGCATGCATTTTGAGCTTATGCCTATTGGCTACCATGTGTTTTTAGCTCTGCTGTTGCCTGTTAGTAAGCATGAACTTGGAATTGTGCTGCTTTGGGTTGCATTTGCTCAGTGCCACCAAGTTTCTGTTATATATTTAACCAAAGTACGTTGAATACTTAGTACGTTAAATACTTAGCATTTAGTCATAGGAATATGGTATTAGAGTCCTCCTTTCAGTAACTCTGAATCGTGCACAGTGATATGGATCTATCAGGCGAATTGAATTAAATTATGTGCCTCAATTTTAGCTTAAGCCATAGCTGACAATTTTGGCATAAGTCAAGGGAAGAACTCTTACCCTTTTACTATTGGTAGTGTATCTCAGCCAGGTATTATACCTCATCTTTCTGAGTGCTCAGAGAAAAGAAAAATATCCTGTTCGATATGAGGTTTTTGGGCGGTCGGTTATATGTAAAGGAGTAATTACTATGTGGCTTGCTGAAGTTTATAACCTTAAATTCAGATGGGTCACTAAGAGCTTATAAAAAGCTTTTACTACTTTGTATGCTTCTTCCACCAAAGATGAACCTGATCTTCCAAGTTATGGAGTAAAACACTGATGGTACATTCTTGTGATATACTGACAATGATATATTACTTAATGGGTACAGTGTATGTTATTCAGATGATGGATACCTTTTAAGCCATGACTTGATCAATATGCATGAAACAAGATTACACTCGAAATCAATAAACATATATAAACATAAATGAAAGAATAAATAAATAAACTAAAATGAAAAGCTACCCCCAAAGTTTTACTTCTACCACTCTTCAAGACCCAGAGGACATTGGCACCCTATTTGACACATATAAAACATACTGACAAATGTACTCGGTTTCATTGAGTGTCATGGCTCATAAATATGCCAAGGAGTTAATTTAAACCCCATTCATAAACCCAATAAAGCAATAATTGCCATAGGAAATGCCCCTAACTATGATGATACTGACTTAGAAATCTCTGAAGGAAGACTCTTATTAATATATGATGCATTTTACACACCTATTCAGGACATAAAAATATGCAAAGCAGCTTACACACACAAAAAGAGATAAGACATTGCCTAACACAAAGTAAAGGGCCCTGCCACCTCAGTAAAAATGTGGACCTTATTTGGCCAGTTAAGGGCTGTTCTATCACTGACACTGTCCAAAAATATTTATTAACCCTCATCAGAACTCATAACATTTAAATAAGTGCAACATAATGTAGGCCATTTGTGTTCTGTTGACAACATCGTCCTCATTTAGAAATTACATGTACGCCCATTTATGATGATATTATTAATTAAATCCAGTTAGACTATAACTGCTACACAGAAGGAGACTGTAGAATCTGCCCAAATTGCAATACAACAGAAACTCCCATTAGTGCCCTCTCCCTCCTCCCACAAACTCCTTCCTTGTAGAGGCTTTAGTGATCTCCTTTCATGCCTTGTGGAGTCTCTGGACCAACAATAGACTTCTGATACAAAATCTGCCCTTCTTAGCACTGTACTACATACCATTAGAGTATCATCTGTGAGCTTCCTGCTGGGTCCTTCTGGAGACGGATGCTATCACATGGCTTGAGACTGTGACTTCCTACACCTTGCTGCCCATTATGACTTAGTCATGGAGACAGCATCTGAGACAGATAAAAAAGCTTTCTAGATTTAAACCTATTATGTGTTAAGGCATGTGATATTTTCATTTTCTATTGAAAAAAAAATGATTCTTATGGGATAGACTAGAATCTGAAACTTCTGAAACATCCATACCATCTAGCCCTTCCTTTGCCAGACAAAATAATAATAATTATAATAATAATAAAAGTAGAAGGTCATTCCCTTACCAGACCTATCATTCAACTGGAGAACAACTTGGGATAAACTAAGTGGACATAAAATACAGTATGTATACCATATTAATAGCAATGCCACCATCATGCATGATGATACCCACTGAAGACCTGTTGCTATCTTTCTCCTAAGCAGGACATCTCTCATCAAGAACAATATTCAAAAGTCAGGAAAATTGGCTGGATTTATCACTAGAGAATTCTTTGACCAAGAAGAGTCTCCTTCTGCACATTTTATAGACTCTTTGACCATTGCCCAAAGTCTGCAATTGGCCCACCCAATCGTTTCTATTCGCCCAACCAATGGCAATAATTCTTCATTCAGGTTGTCCCTTTATTATAAAGAACTCTGGTAATTTCTTGCCATATATATATATATATCCGAAAATATAAATCAAAGTAACATATGTGTCTATACATTCTAAGGCCACAAGACAAAGTATCAACGAGATACTCATTATGCTTTCCAGAGTTCAAAACCTCATTGATAGTGACCAAGGCACACATTTTACATGTAACATTTTACAGTTTACATGTAAAATGCTATACTCTTACACAAAGCATTTAGTAGAACTTTAACCTTTCTTACCAGTTTCAAGCTGTGAGACTCAGGCTTTACTTAAACAAGTTCAAATTCAAACATCAAGACTGAAAAAGAGTCTGACTTAATTTTGAATGTTTGCTGACAGCTTTTATGTCCCATCATTTCCTTTTTGTTCCACACATCTATACAAGTTGTTAAGAAAGTTCAGACACTCACTCCCTTGACACTGACAGAGAAGTTCAAACAAGACAAAGCAAATCAGAGTGCAGGAACCCATACCTAGTTCTAACAGCCCCCACCCCCACACAAACACACACACACATACACACACACACACACACACACACACACGCCACTTCCCCTTTCTTTTGCTAAAGCCATTTTTGCACTAGCTTGAGAATCTTCCCTACTCTTACCAGAAAGCCTCAATATGTGAGTAACAAATCTTTTCATAATCTTTTGGTGTGTGTCCATCTTAACTTCCAAAGTGACCTTGGGTGAAAGTCAAGCCCATCCTCATGCCACCACAAAACACAAGTTTTATAAAGAACAGAAACATAGATGTCACAGAGCTGTTCATTATAGAGCTGACAAAAATACTTCACTAGAAACCTATGCATTGTTTTAAGATTATGTATGGGACTCTTTGTAGGCATGTTTATTTTCTATGTTTCATTGAAGTCAGTTCCACAAAGCCATTATATGCGGCATTGGTATACAATTAATAATTGATTAAATGACAATTTGTTTAATATGTATAGTGTTATGTAGTGCACAAGATAAACTAATTATAAGAATTAAAATTATATGTCTTTGTCATAAATTATTTTGTAACTCTAAGAGCAGATAAAAAATCTTTCTAGATTTAAACCTGTTATATGCCAAGGCATGAAAGATCTTCAAGGTGTAATTGAAAATTAAGGTAGTCAAATCCTGAAAACTTATATGACTGAAGAATTTGAAAATTCTAATGCAGTGTTTATAGGTTGAAATTTTCTATAGTCAAAAAAGCTAATGAGCTTTCTTTTTAGAAGATCAGGTCCCATAATTTTGTGTAAAATTTAAACAGTGTATGAGAAGCTATATAAACCTAGAAAATATCGGTGGAAAGGTGAAGAATGGAATTATACATTTTGAGATGCAAAGGCTCGCATTGATACTGGTAATACACTAAATGTAAAAGTTTTTATTGAAAACATTAGAAGAAAGCTAGAAATAGATTGATAAACACTGAAGAGAACTGGAATTCAAAATGAATACATTATATAGGAGAGAGTTTACAAATAAACAAACTAGGAAAACATCATGTATTCAATATATACGGTGCTATGTGTATGTGTGTCCATGAATTATCTAATTTAATTATCAAATCATCATTTTCATACATCCAATTCTATATTTAATAACATAAATAAGGACAAATAAAAGTAAATTTATTTTGTATTCACTATGTGTCAATTACCAAGTAACTTAAGGGCAAATATCAATCATCATACAAAATTATAAAGAGACTAATAAGTCTTTAATTTCTAAATGAAAAAATTGAATTCTGAACCTTTTGTTTTTCAGGTGATGTGAGATTAGAGATTGAACTCTTAGAGAGATGCCACTTAATAATAATCACAATAAATTCC